ATTCGTACGAAAATTTGTCACGACACTTTTTAATATAAATTGACGTCTAACTGTGGATACCATACATTAAGTTCGCCAACGTCCATACCATGTTGAATACACCGTTTCTCGTCCGATCACCGAAGTTAAGCAACATCGGGCGTGGTTAGTGCTTGGATGGGTGACCGCCTGGGAATACCACGTGATGTTGGCTTTTTGCTCTTTATTTTCGTGTCATCTTGTCAGACATTCAGCGCCATCTATCGAATAGATAGGAAATCATTTCGCAAGGAGATTTTACCAATGTATAAATTGTTTTAATTGTTTTTAATATGTAGGTAATTGCCGCTTTCATAGATGGCGTTGTAATTAAAATCGTGTCAAATCAGTTTTACTCGATCGTCACAACTTCGTTCCTATCGAGTGTCCCACGACACCACTCGGCTTTTTTTTAATAAATTTACCACCTGTTTAGATCAGCCAAAAAAGATGTAGAATCTTGGAAATATCTTAACAAATAATAAAACACAGCAAAAATGTTATCCGTCTAAACCTACCGTAGACTGTAAAGCAATATCAGAAGAAAAGAAATTTGCGAAACTTTTAGTAAATGTTTATTCACCATTGGAGTCGTTTAGGCAAAACAAAAACCAAATTTTCCCAAAATATGTAACCAAACACTCTCGAAACCACATACAATAAATTACCCAGCATTAACTATAAAATTAATAATAAAATTATTAAATCACTCGACTCGAATTCCAGTGCCGGGATAGACGGAATGAGCACCAAATCTAATAAATGCTTACAATACTTAATAGCAAGTGGCCTGCTGCTATAATAAACTCATTATGAATGGGGGATTTCCAGACACTAATGATTGCAAAAGTTACTCCTATACATAAATCAGGTCCCATAACTGACCCAGGTAACTATCGCCCAATCCCAGTTCTACCAATGCTTTCTAAAATTCTTGAAAAAGTCGTACATACGAGATTGGTTACAAAATTTAGAGTCTTTCAACTTTATTTCTGACCGACAATATGGATTTTGAGCTGTGACCACGGGACAACTGTGGTTCACAGCGCACTACAGTACCGATAATTCAAAACGTTGCGTCAGCATTCCCGCAACAAGTACACTACTGCAACAATTGATCTTGTGAAAAAATGTAGTCATAGGAGTTTTTATCGATCTGAAAAAAGCCTTTGATATACGGTATCAAAGGTATCAACTGTTGCTATGCAAACTAGAACATTTATCATGGAAAACCACATGGAACACATAAAAGGCAAAATATCGAGATCGAAAGAACAATGGCAGAAACATATTTACCTAAAACTTAAGCGTTTAAAAAATCGAGTCACAGTAAACTTAATCAATTTTTTTTCTATGATTTATCATTACACCACCATGTGTTGTATAAGTCTTATAAGAGATAAGATATTTTTGAAGATTTTATTTGACCTAAGTACGTAATGTCAGATTCGCCATCACGTATAACTGACTAGGGATGCGTGGTGGCAATATTATATTATGGAACAATTTATCGATAATCGTTTCTTATAGCTTTGGCTGAAATATTTACCGAAGGTTCACTATTATGATTATGAATTTGCTTCTGCCCACGTCTTCACTCGTACGGTAGAGTGACTGAATCAACATAATTAGAAATGATTTAAAATATTTTTGACTCTCTTTAAACGATTTTAAACACACTAAAGAAATAGAATATAGTTACGTTATTTGCCACTACACAGTGTGATGAGAAAAATACATTGTCATTGATAACGGCACATAAATAGACATACATCGATATTTTCAAAATGTCGATACGTCGTCGTTTAGTACATATCTCTTAATCTGTGGTTTAGATCCTGTCAAGTTCCGGACTCACCACGTTTGTTATTTATTTTTGTTTAATTTAGTGTTAAACTCGAATAGATGTTATGCTTTTATTTTTTTTATTTCATATACTGTAATAACAAAGAAAATAATATTTTCGGCTATCTGACACACAACGCCATCTAGTTTCAAACAAAACATTAACAATATGTTAGTACTTAACCTCGAAACATTCAAAATCCAATATCTTTTTTTCTAGACTTCTTTCGCAAGTAATTTTGATATGAGAATGGTCAAGAATAAATTCTCAAGTGTTCAGGATTTTTTGATATTTAAACGCTAACATTTCAGTTCAAATAAAATTATGTATGGGGACCTGCCATTGTCCTTCGGGTACAAAAACTAGATTACAACAATTACAAAGAAAACAAAATAAAATCATAAAAATACTATTTCAATTACCGTATTTAACACCGACCAGCAATGTTTACGAAAAAGCTAAAATTATGAATATTAAACAACTTTACACCTACAGCACCTGTCTACTAATCAGGAAAATTGAAAATAAAACTATTCACCCTAACTTGTCATTTGTAAGCAGATTAGCAAACATAGCACTCGTCAAGCTAGTCTACTTGTTCTGCCAAAAAAATAAGAACTAATTATAAATAAGAAAAATAAGAAATAACTATTGGAAAAAAATATAACTTTCGAAGGTATCCAACTTTATAACAGTCTACCCTCACAAATAAAACATGTTAGCATAATTAGCCTATTTAAGTAAAGATTATCTCATTATATTATAAACAACCGCTCGCTTTTCACTTAAAATATATTTTTTATATCTATGTAACTTTAATAATAATTGTAATTTCACTAAATTCATTGTATGAAACTGTTATTTTTAAATTAAAATAGGTCTGGCATAACACGCGTATTTTTGAGAATAAATTCTTTAAACCTACGTGGAATTTCAATGCATCAAATACATTTTAAAAATCTATGTTCAATAAAATTTAAGTTGAAATCATAGTATGTGTTACATAACACAGGCTCTAGTAAGTTACACTAGACGCTGCATCTTATCATTACACATTCTCCGTGAGTGAGTTCAATTTGGAAGCACAAGTATAGCGGAATTTATACACAAGTTGAAGTTGTTGATTTGTTGCCATGTCACAACCCGTATACTCGTAGATATGTGTTAACATTTGAGTTTCTACACATTTGGTTTATTGTTTGCTTTGAGCCCGTTCGTTGAAGTTTTAAAATAAACCATCAAATTAGTAGTTAGAGGGGCTCGTGGCTAAGTGATAACCGAGTAGTTAATACATTGCAAAGTTACGCAATCCTAGTTAGGTCAGTCTATGGATTGGTGACCATTCTTAAGACATTAAGACCTCCTGCCTGGGAGAACACGTTAAGCCGTCGGTCCCGATTGCCCTAAAAACAGTCTTTCTACACAACTCTCACCGTGGGAGAGCCATGCTTCGGCACGAATGGGCCGGCTCGATCGCCGTGATACCACCGCCTCACAGAAAACCGGTGCTATTCGCCGATTCCGCGATTCTTTCGTTGCCTTTCACTGAGTGAGTGAGGTTACCGGGACCCAAATTTCCCCTCCCGCTGGCTCGAGCGAGAGGGACTCCAAGGGCGGCAACGCACTTGTGACTTTTGAGTTGCAGGTGTCCATGGGCGGCGGTAGCTGCTTACCATCAGGTCATTCGTATGCCTTCTTATACCATAAAAAAAAAACTTGGCCTAGTACTTGGGTTGCGGAGTTTAGCTGTATCGTAGTAGACTTAAACACAACCTAGTTTAGTTGGTTTTTACCCTACCTAGTTAGTGTTTAGTTGAAAGTAGTAGTTATGATAAATTCTATCAGTCAATCTAGCTTTAATAGTACAAGATCTGCTTCGTTTAAAACTAGGTTGCGTTATATGTCAGATGTCCGAAAATAAAGAAATTTGAATGAGATAAGTTTACCATTGCAGTGTTTTATGTAGTGCGTGGTGCAGTCGGGACACCTGATGGTGAGGGACTACGAGCCTTCCCCGAACACCTGCAAATCAAAAATTATAAATAGTGGAGTTGGGCTCCCTTTACCTCACTCACTCGGTGTAAAGTAACGCAGGAATTGCTTCACGCATTGGCGGTACGCCCCGCAACAGTTGTGTTTTCAGCACTCTCGTACGGAACACAAGAGGCGTGGGTTACAGCCCTCTCATCGGGAACACAACAAGTGTGTTATTAGCACTGCTGTAAGGGAACATAAAAGTTGTGTTTTATACGCACTGTCGACTACTCACAACACTGCAGTGCTGAAAACACACTCTAGGTACATTCTTTAGCAGTCTAAGGGTATTTCTCATACATAACGGTGAAGGTGTTACACCAGTTTTCTGAAAGGTCCTAGTATCACTGCGGTGGAGCAGGCCCAAATAATCATGGCTCTCCAATGTGCATTTCATAACGATCGATTGAGTGGTTAAAACGTGAAGGAGTAATAAACAAACTCACGATGACGTAAATAATAACAAGATCATCGTGTTAAAACATGTTCAAATAACAAATTTTATACCTGAAACATACAAGCCTTTATCTACAAAACTTGCGACAAAGCAGTAACAACATTGTTCCAACACGAGATTTACTAAAGTAGTCAGTACTCACAAGATGCGGTGCGAACACATATAGCTTGTACTTTGTGGCTGTACAATATATCTGCTTTACTTGATTAATAAAAGAGTGAAATAGACCAGTCTCATGTACCAACGAGGAGGTTTAACAATTTCGTGTTAGATTCTTGTTAGTGAAACGGGTTTTACGTGTACTTCACAAGCGATTAGAGATTTAAAATGAAAAGTACCTATTATGCATAACGTTTCTGAGTAAACTAAGTCCTAGCAATTAAAATTTTTGAACAGGAATATTCCTGATCAAAATTTTACTTATATACCACACTGAATACACACATACATACACACATATGCACTACACAGGATAGGATACATTTAAAAGCATTAATAAGATGTGGAGGACAACAGGATTTAAGGACATCAGGGTCCTCTCATCGCTCAACAATTTAGGAAGCATTTCCTTCATCATATGATGAAAAACATATTTACAAAGCAACTCCTCTTAAATATATGGAAGGAAATTAACGCATTTCCGTAATGGGTATAACATACCTTTGAATTCCCTGACGCCTTGACTAGATTGGACATAGGCTTGGTTTGAGCACAGGCTGCCCGTGATCTGCACAAACTGTTACGTGATTGAATTTACTCTAGTACGTCTTCATAATAAAATTATACATAAATCATGAAATACTACAGTTTAAACATTAGTAATTTCTCTTAAAGGTTTTTTCACTATTTTTTAATTCTGGGTTAAATGGATTCAAACTCTTCTGAGACCACACCTTAGAAAAAATACTTAATAAATCATTCTTGACAACAAGTTTCCTAATTGAAAAGGAAAATATAACTTTTTTTTAAACCATCAAAATTATGCTATTGTAAAACAACTTACTGTTGTATGTTGTAAGAAAATATAAGACTGACAAAGAAGAGTTGATGAGTAATTAAAACTTTAATATTTTATTAACAGTATGACCATCCCCTGCCTCATAGACTAAAATTCCTCGAAATAGAATTCCTCAATCTTAGCTGGAATCTTAACCGACTATTAGAAAATGTAGTAGGCCAAAACCTCCTTTCCAAGGAGAGGCCTATGTCCAGCAGCGGACTATTAAAGGCTATTGTTGCGTGTTGTGATTAGAAAACGATATGTGGAATGTATTACCTACATATATACAGTAGAACTCCAATTATCCGAACTCCGACTATCCGAATCGCCGATTATCCGAATCACAAAAAATTGTCCAAAAAAAGTCTAAGTGCGCTATTATTCTTCCTCCCGCGAAGCCAGTGTTTGCGCGTCAAGTCTTGACTTGACTTGAAGTGTTTATTCCTGAAGTGAAAAAGCACCAAAAATCGGTGGGAAAAGAAGGCAGTAAGGTGCTTTTAATTGTTGATAACGCACCCACTCATCCTACAGCAGAACTGTTGGAAAGAGAGAATGGGCAGTTTAAAACGACGTTTTTGCCTCCCAATGTTACAAGTTTGCTGCAACCCATGGACCAGTCTGTTATTGAAATTGTTGTAAGTGTGAGAGAAGATGTTGAAGTGGAAGTGGAAGAAGAACTTTCTGCTGATGTTGAAGTAGACGCTGGACCATCAGCTAGTGAAGCATTTGCCGGCCTCGAGACTGCTTTGAAGTGGATGGAGCGTCAGCCCGAGTGTGACCACTTGCAACTGCTCACCGTCAAGCGAATGCGTGACCTGGCTGCCCGAAAACGGTTGAAGACCGCAAAACAGCTTACATTGACGGAGATGTTTAAAAAACAATGATTTTTATTTCTAAACTTGTACATAAGTACATTTTATTTATATTTAAAACATGTGAAAATTTCATGTTTCTTTCATTTAATTCAATAAAAAAATTGTGCAATATCAAAACGTAGCTTTTATTCTCTACAATGGCAATTTTTTTAAAAAAAATCCGATTATCCGAATATTTGATTATCCGAATGGGTCCCGGTCCCCATTAATTCGGATAATTGGAGTTCTACTGTACATATATATATTGATTGCTGCCATATTCCGTTTATATTTTTTAGCAAATACATTATTCTCTTCCGACTTTAAAACAGGAGAAACGTTTGTTACCTCAATTTTGTCACTTATCAATTGTTTGGGAATTATTATTTTTTCAAACTACACCTCCTATTTAAATTAAAAGAAATAAAATTAAGTATATTGTTCTGCACTTCTTCATAATATAAGTGAATTGAAGACAATGATACTTTTTTTTAAAAAGAAAAAAGTTTGTAACGCATGAAAACCAGCCAGGAAATTTAAAAAAACTTTTTAAAAGAAGCTCTCAATGTACTATTTTTATTTATGTTTATTTTACGTAACAACTTTGTTTTCGTTAAAGAATTCAATGTTCATACCAAAATTTGATTAGTCAAAAGAATCCCTCTCCTCGGCAAGTAATAGGCCTGTGTTTACATTTATTAAAACTTACTGTTATTATGAACTTTGTTTTAAAACATCTGTGTCTGTTGATACGTTAGACTTTTCGCGAAGTATTTTGAAAACAAAATAACAATTATATATTCTGAAAGCTTACAAAGCTTTGTAGTCTCTTTCCAGCGGGAACAATTTGACGAATTTCTACTTTGACATTTGAATTGCTGTATATTTTGTACTCCTTTTCAAATAATTTAAATAAGTACCGAGATGGGAAACTTAATTTTAAACGAACAATGCTTTCGACACACAGTTAAAATTCATTTTAATAGATCTACTTTTTTAAAGATAGATAAGTGTGGTGACGGATTAAGAATACGGAATGTCAACTCCCCCATTCATCCCATGGGTGTCGTAAAAGCCGCCTAAGGAGGCAAACTACGCAGGACAACAGCACTGCAAAGAGAAGGAAAACTTGAAACAAACCCTTTTTTTTTTTTTTTTTTTTTTTTTTAACGTGTGGAAATCCCCTCGGACCGTCACCCCTCCGGGGTTTGCGGCGGGGTGGTGTGTCGGACTCGGACCGACTAAATCCACACGGTGTGCCACTCTGCGCCTGTAACAGGAGGGATCCGGGAACAGCTGTTGTTAAGACATCCGGACCCCTCCTAGCGCCAGCCCGCTCCTGGTGCGGGCTCCGTCTCGATGTTTTCCTCTCTTTAGGCGACGTCCGGCACACGCGGACGCCGCCCCCTCGCGGCTGGCCAAACTAATGCGGGTGGAGGGGAAACCCACCCCGTCCACCCGCGGCCACACTCAGGGCGGCATGAGGATGTGGTAGGCGGGCCTCCGCCGCCCGGTTCGCCGGCGGCGGATCGGGTCCGAGTGGAGGTCGTCCTCCCGGGCCCTCTCCGCCGCCTCCTTCCGCGAGATTACTACCTCGCAGAAGGTTGCGACCGCGGTAAAACAACTGTCGCTACCGGCCATGGAGCGTACTACGGCCGGTAGCGAGAGATCCACTCCGATGACTGCAGTGAGGGCCCGGCGCTGCGCCGCCCATGCGGGGCAGACCGCCAGCGTGTGCTGGGCCGAGTCCTCACTGCAGTCGCAGTGGTGGCAGGCGGGACTCAGTTCCCTCCTAGCGACCGTGTGCAGGTACTTTCCGAAGCAGCCGTGCCCGGAAAGCACCTGCGTCAGTCGGAAGGAAAGGGTCCCGTGCTGCCGCCCTGCCCACTCGGCGATGACCGGCTGGAGAGCCTCCACGGCGGCGAAGCCAGCGCGTGGAGTCTCCAGCCGGAACGACCAACGAGCCATCGTGGCTCGGCGAGCGGCTTCGCGCCACTCGCGCACATCCTCGGGCGGAGGGCGAAATCCGCTCTCCGCCCGGAAGTCAGCCACTCGCCGATAAACTTCGGCGAGCACTTCCGCCTCCAAATCCCACGGGGGAGTTCCGGCCAACGCGCACGCCACCTCCGTCGAAACGGTGCGGTAACCGCGTATGGCTCTGACCGCCATTACCCTCTGAGGGCGCCAGAGGCGTACCCTATTCTGGGCGGTCAGAGCCGCCGCCCACACCGGTGCACCGTACAGCGCCATTGACCGGACAACCCCCGTGTACAGCCGTCTTGTCGCGACGCTGGGTCCACCCATATTGGGCAAGAGTCGCCCTAGGGCAGACGCAGCGCCGACCAGCTTTGGAGCAAGCTGTCGGAAGTGCTCGTCGAAGAGCCACCTCCCGTCGAGGATCAGGCCCAGATATTTCATCTGGGCCCGAACCGGTACGAGGACCGAGTTGACCACGATTGAGGCGCCAGGGGGTGGACCACGACGGGGCCCATGGAATAACAGGGCCTCCGTCTTATCTAGGGCCACCCGTAAGCCCAGCGCCTCAATGCGCCCGACCACCAGGGAGACTCCCCCTGTGGCCAGGCGCGCCGCCTCTTGGAAGTTTGCCCCCCGGGCTGTCACGAGGGTATCGTCTGCGTAACAGATTACACCCAGCCCGGGGGGGAAATCGGCGCGAAGGGCCCAGTCGTACCCTATGTTCCACAAGAGGGGTCCAAGAACAGACCCCTGTGGAACACCGCACGACATGGGCCGACTCCTCAAATTACCTTCTCGGTCCTCGTACACGACGGTACGCTCCTCTAAGTAGTCTGCCACTAGCCGCCTCAGGTACTTTGGCACCCCATGATAGTGGAGTGCTTCCCTGATGCAGCTGAATGGCAGACTATTGAATGCGTTGGCGATGTCTAATGACACCGCCAACAGCACGCCGCCACAGCTCACTGCCTCTTCGGTCACGGCCCTCAGGCGCAACACGGCGTCGACTGTCGAACGCCCCGCCCGAAAACCAAATTGGGCGTCCGACAGATCGGGGCCCACCTCGCAGAGGTGCCGGACGATGCGGGCAGAAAGAACCCTCTCAAACAATTTGCCCGCCTCGTCCAGCAGCACGATGGGCCTATAGGCCGCGACCGAATCGGCAGGCCGTCCCGGCTTCTGCAGCAGGACCAGCTTCCCGCATTTCCAGCGCTCAGGGAAGCGTCCGGACGCCAGGCTAGCGTCCAACACCCCCCTGAGGTGGTCCGACATGTAGTCGAGGGCTCGGGCCATCACTCGGGCTGGAACCCCGTCCGGCCCGGGGGCGGTGTTCTTGGATCGAATCCGTAGAACAGCCGCCCCCAACTCCGATTCCCTGACGGGCGGAACATCGGCCTCGCTGCCCCCGTCGTCTCCGGCTGATGCAGCCATCGACGGGGGTGTGTGCTCCGCCCGCTGCGGGAATAGGCCTTCGACCACTTCCTGCAGGAAGCTGGGCTGGAGAGTCTCCGTAAGGGGGGGGGCCCGATGCGCGGAGCTTTTGTCGCACCGCGCGGTAAGGGCGACCCCAGGGGTCACGATTAAGACCCTCCAGCATCTCCTGTCTCTTTTCCTCTTTGGCGCGGCTAATGGCCAGCTTCAGAGTTTTCCGCGCCCGCCGGTACTCCTCATGAAGCCGGTCCTCCTCACCGTCTCCACGGTGACGCCGCCGACTGCGTGTGTAGGACCTCCGGGCACGTGTACAGGCCGCACGGAGGTCCGCCAGCTCCTGGGACCACCAGTAGACCTCCTTCCTTGGAGGCCGACGACCTCGAATGCGGGGCATGGCCGCATCGCAGATATGCGTAATCGCATCGCGAAAGCGGCCAGCCCCCACGTCGACCTCCTCGGTCGGAGCCTGAGGAGACAGCCACGAGTGAATTATGGCTGCCTCCTCTAGTAGGTCCCGGTTCAGTCTGGCAACAGCCCACCGCGGAAAGCGGGATAAACGCCGCGCCACGTGACCCCTACTGGAGTCCTGGGTCCGGGAGAGCTCAAATCGGATATACAGGTGATCCGAGAGCGTCTCAACCTCTTCCAGGACACACCAGTTCCTTACTCGTGCGGCGAGGGCAGGGGTAGCGAACGAGAGGTCCACTATCGACCCCCCCTGCTGTCGCACGCACGTGTTGGTGGAGCCTCTGTTTAGAAGACAGAGGCCCACCGAGGCCGCCCACTCCTCTACGGCCTCGCCCCTTGCGTCCGTCCTGGGGGAACCCCACGCAATGGACTTTGCGTTGAAGTCCCCCAGCACAAGGACGTGCCCAGACGCTAGTCGCCGTATCGAGGTCTCCAAGCTGGTTAGGAAAACCTCGAAGTCGTTCAAACTCCGGTTGGGGGAGAAATAAACACCATATATGGTGATCCCCCCCCACTCGACGGCAACATATCCAGTGCCCTTGTCTCTTAGCGACAAGGGCGGGGAATGAGCCGTCGTGGAACCGACGACTGCCACGGAGCCGTCCCAGTCACCCATCCAGTTTGGACGGGGAGGGACAGAATAGGGCTCCGCGACTACGGCAACACCTATCGACCACTGTGCCATGGTTTGCAGGAAGAGATCCTGCGCCGCGGCACAGTGGTTCAGGTTCGTCTGGACCAGGAGGCTGGAGACCCGATCCATTACTGGATCGTCTCTACAGCCTCCTCCATGGGCGACGACGTCGACGCACGAACTACATCGGAGGCAGCCTGGGTCGACTGGCTAGCCCCCGATGCTTGCTGAGAGTTGCGGGGAGGCTTGCAGCCCCCCTGCCCCATCTGATGATTGGCGGGCTTGTTACCCGCCGCACACACCGGGCAGTGAGGGGCGGCAGAGCATTCCACCGCCACATGCCCCGGTCGACCACAGCGGAAACATAGTCCGCTGCAGTCGAAGCAGCTTTGGCACTTGACGCGCGTGTGCCCCGATGCTAGGCATTTGTAACACCTCATCGGTCTCGCCGCCAGGACTGTGATCCTAGCGCTCACGAAACCGATGAGCAGCCTGCCGGCGTCGGCCAATACTTTGGCCG